AATCTTTCCCAGCATCAGGGTCTTTTCCAAGGAGTCCTCTCTTTGCATTAGGTGACCAAAGCAGACTTCTTAGGAAATGTCAAAGGTATCGTACTGTAATTAATCAAGTGTGCAGGACCACCTTCAGCTTCCCACTGCAAACTGTCCCTCATGTGAAAGTGAATCCTAGATGATTTTCAGCATGCATTTCTCAATCTCATTGTCTCTGGGTTTTGCTTTCTCAGCGCAAATGCACAAGAATAGATGGAAACTGTGAACATTTACTAAAGAATGTCATAATGGAGAATCAGCCCCGATTAATGATGTTAAAATTGGGTGGAACTTTTCATCTTGAGGCATGGAACAAAACACATGATTACCTTTGGTGGATTTGCCCACCACTCTGGTTCCCCTTATCTTGGAACCCCTTATCTTGGAAGTGAAATGGATTGATCAGGAGATTATTGCTGGTCCTCAGGAAGGAGGATAGGGAACTATTTTAGGATCTAGGGCCACATTTGGCAATTTGGTGACATGCCAGTAGCTGCATTGCAAAAAATTAAGCAGGATCAGGACAAAGATATTGTTGGGCCTATGGCAGACTAAACTGTATACATACATGCTCAGCAAGCTTTCCCTTTTTGCATAATTAACATTTTGCAAATTGCAGAAAAGTTTACAAAATTTTATGGCAAAGGCACGCGATAAGGAAGGAAAAAGAAGGAGAAATACTGTCTATCCTCACGGATAACCCAAGATTTTAGGTTCCAAAACACACCTAAAATATTGGGTTCAGCTTATCTGCAGATGGGCTTTTCTGCGAGTACCTATGGTAATACTTTTTAAAGGTACCCTTATATATTTGAGGACAAGCCCATGCGCCACTCACGGATAAGCCAATTGTGAAAATTTAAAACAGAATCTGTTCTGAAAAAGAACATCTATTGATACAAACTATGAAAATAAATGAAGTCTTTCAAAACATATTGAAAAAACATGAAAATTTTGAAAAAAACATGAAAATTTCGAGAAAATCTGCTTTCTGTGCAGATGGTGGGCAGGGGAATGGCAGAAGTGTTCCACCACCTGTGGCCCCACAGGAGAAAAGAAGCGCACTGTCCTTTGTATCCAGACAGTGGGATTTGACGAGCAGGCTTTGCCTGCAGAGAAGTGCCAGCATCTGCTAAAACCAAAGACTCGCTTTTCATGTAACAGGGATATCTTGTGCCCCTCTGACTGGACAGTAAGCAACTGGACTGAGGTAAGTCTGTAAATCAACTTTGTTTATAAGAACTCAGGCAGCTTAGAGTTGACACTAACATCCCATCCTTGGTTTAGATTAAGCAAGAGACATGTATTCAGACCATTTTTTCCTCTAGGTCTGTGAAAAGAACTATTTTCCTATTGCACCTTTGGTGTGTACGATTATTGTTTTGCATTCTGTCCTTGTTCAGGAAGAGATAGACTTTGAATCCTGCCAGCTGCCTGAAAACACTGTTGATTCTAAAACCAGTACATCTGAATTCCCATGGCCTTTACAATAAACTAAGGCAAGAAATAAATAATATTTTAGCAATTAGGAGGATCTACCCGCTTGCTTCCCCATCTTTAAAGCAAGAATGCCCAACCTAGACTTAACACAATTAAACAAAAATAGAATTAAATCCCAACTCTGTAATAACACACACACAAAAAGGAAAATCTAGCCATGTCTATGATGTCCCCCCACAAATACTAAATGTGCCCCCAGCCATTGTAAATTTAGTCATTCTTGAAAAGGTTGGCCTAATAAAACAACTAGTCCTCTAATCCTACTTTCTCCACCTGTCATCTGCTAATCTAGACTTCCCCAACGTGGATGGACACAGCATAGACCCTGCTGAGAATTTGAAGTCATATATCTAGAGAGCATCCAAATTGGGAAAGGGTAGGTTAATGTTTCAGAGGAGAAGGGGCTGATCAGTGTGCCACTCCTGACTCTGTCGTTTCTATCAAACAAGAGAAAGATGAGACAGATTTCTGGTGGAATTTGCTGTATTTGTTATCTCCACACCCAGTGGGCAAGCTGAGGGATATCCCGCCTTTGTTTCTTATAAAGTATGAGGAAGGAAGCCATTTTTCTCACAGATACTCAATTATATGTTTCAAAACTCACCTGCTGTAAAGCCACCTTCCTCAATGTGCTACTCTCTAGATGTGTTGGATTTCAATTTCCAGAGGCTCTCATTGTGGTTTCATCTCCTAGAATCTCCAAGCATGTTGATTGTCCCAAATATATGGAGCACATCAGATTGAAAAAGGCTGCACTAAAACAGGTGTGGGCAAACTACCAGCATCGGGGAGGTGCTTCAGTTTGGGTTATCTTTTGTTTTAGAAGTCTGCCAGTCAGAGCCAAGTGCAAAGTAGTGGTTCACAGGCTAGGAGATAACTTAAAAAGTTATGTAACAAGCGAGTCTTCAACCACAGACCGTATTTTTCCGAAAATAAGACGCCCCCATGTACAAGGCGCCCCCCCACTTTTCCAGCCCAAAATTAAAAAATCAGTATTTTA